CCTAAGCAAATGCTATGATTATAGATTGGGGGAAGAAGTAGGGCTGGGACGGTAACCGCATTACCGCTATACCGCGGTACGTGACGCCTACCGCGGGTCTGAACACGTCACCGTCATGACCGGCAAAAAAAAAATTGAAACATTGGCCTGTATATGTGGGGATGTTATATGTATAGTGGCGGGGCACGGTCATAACCAGTAGGCCTATTCACCGTTTTCAAAACGAAACTTCAAACAACCTTTGATCAAAAGATGGAGCAAACCCGACCTTAGGATGTTGGGGAGCGCAATTTTCCATAAAATAAAATAATAGTGATTTGTTAACATTTTCAGTGCAATAGAGGTTGAAGTTCTTCTAGTTGTTGAATGTTGAAATTTAAGAAATGTTGAAGGAAAAAATATTCACTTTAAATGTTCCATGAGTAATTTGCACTTGTTTTGTATTGAAGATAAATAAATAATGCATATTATTTAACCCTTGTCTTGCGCCGTTTTTGTGTTGGGCGGGGGGGTATAAATATAGCGGTATATCGCAAAACCGCGGTAATTTGTTGATTACCGACCGCGGTAAGAAAAAATCCAAACCGGCACAGCCCTAGAAGAAGTTATTTCGAAAATATCAAAGAAAATGAAAGATAGTCTCCTTCAATGACATAGTCAGCCTGTTAGTTGAGGACTCTGTCCACGGTTTTAAACAGAGGCAAAATAAACAAAACAACCCTACAAGGCTTCCAATAAGAAAATTCAAGAGGCCCTGGGGAGTGACTTTTCTAAGACAATAGGGATGGTTTTAGACGGCAAGGCCAACCAGGTTGGGATGAACCAGCGTGTACCTAATCAAATAATCAGCGATTGGGTGCACAAGTTCGAGATGGCGTCCGTTGAGGATGCCAGAACCCCAAAGATGGTCAACAAGGTGGACCACGCCATGGAGGCCCCTATCTCGGTGGAGGAAATCGGAATCGCCATGAAAGACATGGGCTCCGATAAGGATCCACTGGGAATGACAGGGGCAGAGATTCTTGTAATACCCATGGACGAAATGGCTAAATATTTTAATAAAATTCTTATAGAGGGTAAGCTACCGCAGGAATTGTTAAGTGCAAGGACCACGCTGATCCCAAAAAAAGAGGACCCACAGCTCACAGGGGACTACAGACCAATAACAGTCCTTCCCCACATAACTAGGGTCCTCCACTGAGTCCTGGCGAACAGGATCAAAACAGCAAGAATAAGTAACCGCCGGAAAGGTTTCAGGGAGGTGAACGGCTGTTCCGAGAATAACATGATTCTTAGGAATCTGATTGGAACAGCCACAGGCGGACAGCGCTATTTTCCCTTAGCGTTCGCCTTCATCGACCTGGCCAAGGCATTTGACTCAGTATCCCATGAGTCGCTGCTTCGGGCGGCAAGAAGGGTTGGGGTACCCCCCTGATAATAAGTTATTTAGAACACCTATATAAAAATGCCAGGACTCGGATTGGGGATCAGGAGGCTATATTCAAGTCAGGGATCCTCCAGGGAGACCCACTGTCTGGCTACCTCATCAACTTCGTACTGGACTGGGTACTGGATGTAGCCTACAACACCACACCCGTGGGAAAAAGAGACCCAGTACGAGTTGGAGCAACGCATGTGGAAGCCCTCCTCTTCGCTGACGACGCTGTGCTCGTTAGCAGGAATGTAAAAGGGCTCCAGAAGCTAGTGGACGCCTTCCTTACGCAATGCGAGAAGGCAGGGCTCCGTGCGAATCCACAGAAATGCGCCTTCACAGCGATCCAGACGATGGGAAAAGCCCACTTCATCGACGCCAGTGAAGAACTTTCCGTAATGGGGGAAAAGCTAACCCCCATGAATGTGTCAGATACGTACAAATACCTGGGAGTGGTGTTCCACTCCAAGGGTATGGTATCCACCCCTATCCTGGAAACAATCCAGGAGGGGTTAGGTAGACTGAATGGCATTGGCCTAACAGTCTACCAAAAATACATAGCCTTGAGGGACCACCTAATCCCAAGGCTAATCTACAGCCTCACGTACAGCAAAGTCTCCCAATCCCAGATCCGACAAGCGGATCAGGTGGTGAGGCTGGCTGTGAAGGACTGGATGAAACTCGCCAGGGATACTACCAGGGAGTTTTACTATGCCCCAACACCGTCTGGTGGTCTGGCCCTCATGGAGCTAGAGGTACGCAGGAAACTTCTCCAAAATAAACGTATAGCTACCCTGAGGGAGTCTAAAGACTCAATCGTCCAAGCCATCATTGCACAGGACCCACTATATGTTAGACCTCAACAGGCAACAGTAGGTGGGCTCCTGTGCAGGGACTCAGACACGGGAGATACTTTATAAGTCAAGGCGTTGTGGGCGAAAACTGACACATGCGGACTGGCGTCGACAGCACAAGGACACCGGAACTACATGTTTATGAGGGAAAAGGGCCAGAAGCTGACTGACGCTGCATTTTGTACTGCAGTGCAAATGATGGCCCACAGCCTGAACCCAGCGGTCAAGGCAAAACCAGAGCCAGCGGCCCGCTCAAGACTTCAACACCTGCCGCCCCCAAGGGTAAAGACTCGGGCGGGAAGCGAGGTACGTCGGCCGATGCTCGCACGGGCGCGCAATTGCCAAGATCAAGCGCAACCGACTGACCTCGCCATCCCCCCGCGACTCAGGCCGTCCGCTAGCGACAGAGGAGCAACTAGCAGCGGATCTCGCTCCGAGCCCTCAGAATCCCAGGCTCTAAGCCGGCTGGCTATCCAAGCATCAGCAGTGATAAGGAGCTCGAAAGAATGCGTGCAACGTTGAATGATCAATACGACGAGCAGCTCTTGATACTGTCCATAGCCAATAAGAGCGTGGCCAGCAAGACCGGAGGGTATGACGAAATCCTCTCGGACATCGACGCCACTTTCAAAGATGCTGCTGATGCGCCCAAGTCTTGTTGAGCAAATGCGGAGCCTGACCAAGAAGGGCGATTCTACAGCCAAGAAAGGGAATCGCAGCGCTAGGATGCGGTCCGAGCGCAAGAAAAAGACCAAGTCTGGCGCATCAAAAAACTAAGCTGGGGGGCTCTATTATATCTTATCTCGAGGATCTAGAGGAGCGGATTGACATCGCGGAGAAAATATAAACTTTTGCATGTATGTCGTTATTTTTTCATCCTTCTTTGTCCTTTATAATTTATGAGTTAATGTAAGTGTATACACATTTGAATAATATATATTAACGATTTCAACTATTTATTTTGAAATGTATATAAAAATTCGGAACTTTTTTCATATGATCACGCAACCTTGAGATTTTTCAACGGAGACCCCAGGCTAAAATTCTGTAAATAAAACCTCCGTTATTTAGTGCCATGCTGCGTATATGTTTGCCAAATCACTGATTTTTTTCGTTTGTATGATGTCTTTGGTTTTATATTATTATATCTATATATATATATATATATATATATATATATATATATATATATATATATATATTGTTTGAGGTGAATTAACACAGAAATAAAGTTTGTTGTACGTCGGTACAAAAAAAAGAACACCGTTTGAAGTCGTTCTAAACCATGTCAGTTTTCAAAATGCAATAAATTAATGGTACTCGCATATTTTGCCACCTACGGCGCCCTATGTTCGCCCTTCGGGTTCTATTTCTTAAGACAACTACTCTTCCATCAATTTTTTTATTATCTCATTTTTCCACATAGACTTTTCTCAAATAAAGTATGAAAAAATAAATATAAACGATGGGAAAGAAATGAACCAAACTTGTATGTAGAAAAAAAAGCAGACAAAATAAAAGAAAATCAACTTTCATTTTGTCTTTCATTTTGCCGCCACCTACAACACCAAGGAGTTCAAGAAGGCCCTCCTTAAGTACTTCGAGTGCGAGGAGACCCACACAATCGAACAGGTAGAGGTGGTGCCCATAGTAATAAACTGGAGAGGCGTTATGTCGGAGAGGACGTACAGGGCACTAGTTGGGACTGTCGGAATGACCCCCCAATATGTCAAGTACGTCCAACTAAAAGTTCTGACTGCCTCCCACATGATATACAGAGAGGAGAGAGACAGACCTGACAGGAATGTCTAAAACCCCTCCACAAAAGCACCGCATATTCCTAAGACGGTGGTCTTAACCTGAGCGTTTTTAGCGAATGTTTTTTAACAGCTTTTAATGTATCACCCCCGCTTTTGACAGCTTTTAGAAGACTTTTTTTTTCTTCTCTTTTAATAACATACTAAATGATTGGACAGTTGGGGCCGCCTACCGTGTGGGCAACCAACAAAAAGAAATTACATCCTATATTAATTGATAATTTCATTCTTTATCTATATGTATTTAGTGTGTGGGTAAGGCGACTGGTTAGTTGCCGCCATAAGCCTGCACACTTTAATAAATGATGCTCCTGTTGGACAAGGAGCGCCCAGACTTGGTGTCAAGCGAGGGCAAAGTTTTTTGTAACAATCGTGCCAATTTGAAATAAATGCCGAGATCGATACCCGGCTCCTCTATGATTTTTAAATTAATTTAGCTTAAAAATATATTTTAAGTCAGATAATGATTACGGCTGTAGTAATGTGGCCCCATGGTGTAATGTTTAGCACTTTGGACTCTGAATCCAGCGATCCGAGTTCAAATCTCGGTGGGACCTTGCAGTTAGATTTTGTCGTGTTAACCTCTCAACCTTTTTTTAAAAATATGTTCTTACCTTGATCATAACCAATGTTATCTTGATATGCCAATGAAATACTTTTATGCTGATCTTTTTCATAAATAAAAAGTATATACAGTTATATATAAATATATTAGTTTAAAGTAGAATAATGTTATCTATTTCATGATAGGAATAAATTTATTTCTTAATTAAGTATTTCTTTGACAAATGTATTCTTGAGGTTTTTTAAATGAAATCTTGTTGTTTTTTTTTCTTATTGAATAATGAAATAAATAATATTTGAACTGTTAAGCTATGATTGGCCAAAACATTCATCGGCCGTGATAGCTCAGTTGGGAGAGCGCTAGACTGAAGATCTAGAGGTCGCTGGTTCGATCCCGATTCGCACTTTCCTGAGTTTAGGAACATGGAGTTCCTTTGACCCTTCAGGAAGGATTTGCAGCCTGCAGTGTCCACCTTCATATATAATTCTTCAGCAAGGGCCTTCCTTGCCTCCAACCTATCTGTAACGGGCCTACCACCTATCCTAACTACGGATAGCCCAATCAAGTCTGGACAAACCCTTGCTGATGCTTTTACCAATGGGTCGTTCGAATTTACAATTGCCTTTGCCAATTTATTTTGGAGGGTGACTATTTTTGTCTTGAAGTGGAGCAGGCCAATTCCACCCATGGCAACAGGAGCGTGAAAAAACTCAGTAGAAGTACACTTAGGCAATCTGACAAGGGACCTCATGAAGTCATGAACTCTGAGGAGTATCAAGAAAGACATAGACGGCGGCTCTTAACAATTCAAAATAAGAAGGTCTCGGATTACTCCAAGACCTTATTAATTAAAAATGACCGCCGTCTGAACTTTAGTACATTATATAAATTAAAAGATACAATTAGGAGTGCTGATCGGATCACTCCCAAAGATATCATTTCTTTAATTTTTAAACTTTCATTCCATCAAAACGACCTCCGGGAACGGTTTAATCCCATTCCTAAAAGGATGAGAGCTCTGCTGGGTGCTCAATTTATGTATCCCTGCAACTTTAATATTTTATCAACCTTTTTAGCTATGGACACCTGTCCATCCATAAATAATGTTTTATCCCTTTTAATTGATTTTACTGTTTTTAATTACAGGGAGAGAAAGGGGCTGATAACTGTCCCCACCTCTTCTCGCCATTCGAGAAAGAGGATTGAGGCTGAGCTCCAGAAAGAGTATTCCGGAACTATGAGAGCCATTTGCGAGGGGAAATTGAGCTCCTTTCTCTCCTCCCGCCGTGTGTCCTCTGATGTGGCACAAGAATGGGCTACAATTTTAAATCAACAGTCTGTCAGGGATACTAGATCAATTGATGCGATCTGTGACACCCAGTATGATTCCTTTTTCCCAATTATCCCGGAGGAAGTTAAATTAGCCCTTCCTAAGATTGATGCTAATGAAGACCCAATGGCGCCCACGTCCATGGGAGGACTGGGGCTGATGCAGTTCCGCTCAAAGATAGTTTGTGCAAGGAATGGGGCAGCGAAAGCAGCGGCTAATTCGTCGGATCCGCTGGTGAAGGCGGCAGTGAAAGTGCGGCCCACTGAGCTAACGCTCTCCTCCTGCCTAATTGGTGGTCGCCCCGTGACCGACAGAGAAGCGGCCAGGAGACATTTGGCGGAGGAGCTCTACCGGAAAGTAGACACAGCCGGATCGGTGTCTTTCAAGAAGGGTATCCGGAATTCCCAATATCTATCCGGTAGTAGATTCCTAATCGAGGACAAGGAGTTTCTGGCGGCGATCCAAATCCTTGGAGGTGCCCCCTTTGTGAAAGCGAAGAAAGCGCGCTTCACACCCTTTGAGTTTGGAAGCAAGTGTGAGGCATGCCCTGAGGTCGTGAAAAACCTGGATCACATTCTCCAGATGTGACCAGGTCCAGGGTGGAAAGATTAAGACGGCACGACGATGTCCAGTCAGTTATGGAGAAGGACTTATCAAAACGAAGAATCAAATTCACCAAAGACAATGTAATTCAAGTCGGGAACACAGTCCGCAAGCCTGACCTCATAGTAACTCGAGGCGACAAAATCACTGTGGTGGACCCGACAATTATTTCGGACAAACGGGAGTTTGTAGCGGCGTGGGACGAAAAGATGACCAAGTACGGTAATAAGACGATCCGCCGTCAAGACCCCGAGCCACTGACGACTTCCGCGTGGGTCTGCGATCATTAGAAGCCGAGCAATGATACTCCCATCCTCGAAGAGGACCCCAGGATCCCCTAAGGGGCTTAGCACCCTAAAGAATTTCCTCAGGGTCCCGCAGGCGTAGAGGACAGTGACAGCTCCCCGCAACCGGGACACAGCTGCGAATCGTAATAAGTCCCCATCTTCGGCCTTTGCCGACCCTAGCGAGTGGGTACTCCCCGGTCTCCCCACATAAAGGAGAACCTGTTGAGAGGGTATTTTGTACCTTCAGGACCCCTCACCCCATCAAACCCATTTACGGATTATACCTTACATTATAAATAATCTACTTTTCTTTTCTTGTTATATGCCGTGCCCTCCCATCTTGTACCACTTCTTCCGCTCCAAACTCATTGCCAATGAAAGCAATTTAGGGCCACCCCCCCGAAGGGTCACTCTGGACCAGACTGATCAACTCATCCTCTCGCCCCCGATAATGGAGAAGTACCCCTCCCCTGGCCATAGTGAGGCCCCCCCCCCCCCGTCACGAACGTCCCTCGAGCGGTGGACAATGCACTGGTCTTAGAAGCTCCCATGAGCTCAACAGTGGTACAGAGCCCCAGTGCTACGTCATCACCCAACCCTCCTGCTCCCCCCCGTCCTACCCCTTTGGAGCCCGCCGCCATGGAAGCTCCCTTTCCCAGGATGGACAATGTTGGCGACTTGAAGTTGCTCGCCAGTGAAAAGGCTGCGGGACTGGGAATGAGCTCAGTCTTGAGCTTCCTCAAGCAGGCCACCAAAGAGCCCACAGCCCCGAAGCGCGAAGAACGAAGGCCCTCACGGAGCGCCAGGCCAACTGGCTCAAATCGATCCAAGCCAGGAAAATGTCGGACTATGCCAAGATTCTTTTAGTACGAAATGACAAGGTCCTGGAGCCGTCAGCATTGGAGGCCCTGAAAGCGACAATTCGTCAGGCGGATTTAATCACCCGAAGGACATCTTGACCTGTCTATTCAAGGTGGCCTTCAATCCTACAAATCTGACGAATTATAATTCCCTCCCCAAGAGAATGCGGCCGCTCCTCGGAGCGCAGTTCAATTATCGATGCGACAACAACCTGCGCCAAGGAATCCTGGCCCTGGAGAATGATGGACAAGGACCCACAGTGAACAAGGTCATATCCGACCTGATTGACAATGCGGTTCTGGGGTACAGAGAGAGGAATGGCCTGCTGAAAACCTCCCCCAGAGCCTCACGGCATTCCAGGAAGCAGATTGCCGTGGAACTCAAGAAGGACTTCTCTGGAACGATGAGGGCAATCGCAGACGGCAAATTGTCAAGACACCTCTCATCCCAGCCTATTCCGGCCGAGGTGACAAAGGCATGGGAAGCAACCATGTCAGAGCCCTCCCTGGAGGATAAAAGAGCAGTGCCCCCACATGACGAGCCCCTCTACAGTGCCATGTTCCCCATAACGGAGGAGGAAGTAAAGAAGGCCTTCCCAAAAGAGGATGCGGGAGCGGATCCGTTGGGGATGGATGGGCGCTCCTTCCGCTCACTCCATCATCTCTGACAAGAGAGACTTCAAGTCGGCATGGGAGGAGAAGCTTTCAAAGTATGGAAACGACGATTTCAAGGATGCTCTCATCAAGTCGCTGGGTCGACCCGCCAAAGACAAGGCCAACATACACGTTATCCCCTTTGTATGTAACTGGAGGGGTGTCATTTACAGGGAATCCTTCTTGGAAATGAACAGAAGGGTGGGCACCCCAATCTATCATTCCTACCCTTCATCCCATTGAAATGAATTCATGCTTGCAAGGATTGGTGTATTAAGAGTATTAAATTAAATGATCAATTTCATTGTAATAAAGAGTTCATGTTTCATTTCTTTTTCTTACTCATGTTCTTTATTTAAAGCTCTTTGTCAATGTGTTATGTTTAAACATTTGCCTTAACTAAAATAAATAAACCTTTACTTAAGAAAAAGTAATATCTCAGTAAATCTACTAGCTACAGAAGCTTTAATTTGTTACTAACTTTTAGATCCTCAACAGTATCATAGAAGTAGGTAATATCAGTATTCTTTATAATTTTATTAATTTAGATTTAAGCCTTAAATGGCTCAGAAAAAATAGCAGATGGACGTTGAATCCCCTATTTTTTGTTATTATTTTATTGAAGTATGCATTTGTTATTTATTTGTGTTTTTGTTTATTATTGTTATTTTATTCCATTACTTTATTTTTTTAATAGAAATATCTTTAAAAATATATTTGTTATGAACATAACTTTAAATTATATTATACTTATTAGATGTTATTTTTTTTACTAGGCACACACATATCCAAGCAACGAAGAAAATTGATACTTTTCTATTAAAAATTTATTATTATGAGACTTACTTGCTAGTACTTTATATATACTTCAACTATAGTTTTTACAACTTAATCTATTTATTTTTACCAAACGGCACCGCCCTCGGGTAAGCCGCAAAGTATTCTTAAATTCCTCACCACAAAGGTCACATCAACATGAATTCTACATATCCCAAAGAACTCCGAGTAACCGTAAATCCAAGTGATCGGTCGGCTGCTGACGCGGTCCTTGGTAGGAACAAGGAGTTAAAACACAAAAGAAGAGAAAGAGGCCTAAGAGTACCCTTACTGCTCTATCGGATAGTGACTCCTCCGATGGGATGCACAGACCTCAGCCAGTCAGGTGGAGGCTTCTGAATTCCTCCAGCAGCGAGGTGAATGTAACCCCGCAGCAGCTGTGCTGCAAGAGACTCCCTGACAGCAGGAACCTAAGGAACCCAAAGAGACCTCGGGAGAGACTCTGGAAGTGGATTAAGGCAGGGAAACCCCAAGTGCAGAACAAAAAAGATGTGCCCAAAGCGGAAGTGCCGCAAGAAAGTGAAGTGAAAACTGGGGTAGATAAAGGAAAGGATGACAAGATCCGACAAGCCAACACTAACGTCATGGAGGCCCCTATCTGAGAAGGGAAATTAGAGAGGCCATGCCTAGCATGGGCTCCTATAAGGACCCACTGGGAATGAGAGGGGCAGAGATTCTTGCTATACCCATGGACGAAATGGTTAAGTACTTCAACAAAGCTCTGATCGAGGGTAAACTGCCGCAGGAGCTAATAACAGGAAGGACCACACTGATCCCCAAGAAAGAGGACCCACAGCTAGCGGGGGACTATAGACCGATAACAGTGCTACCCCAC